TCAGGTAACAATGGGTGGAGACCCACATCCTATCAGTCGGTTTTCTCACCTGGCTAGTTTTACACTAAAAGCAGTCTGAATTGACATTGTAATTGTAAAATTACATTTAAGTATGAGAGTTAAAAAAAACTACTTTATAATGATATTTTTGAACATGACAAACTAGGGGTGTAACGATCATGTCACGATCCGACATAAGTAACCCAATGCACAGGACAATGGTGACAGCAGAATAAAAATATCCATGATTCTGAAGCTGAAAATGCGGAATTATTTTAGATGAATATGATTACACTCTGTCCATGACTAGATATATTTTAAATATTGTAGGCCACTTTTTCCAGGAAACACAAGACATCTGGCATTATCAGTACCCACAAATAAAACCCCCACTGCAGTATTATAGATTATATTCAACATTATATATAGTAGTTTAATGTAGTTTTACAGTCTGAAAACTTGATTTTTTTTCCTCACACAGAAATTTTCATTTTGGGTGAATACAGACCGTCACTGTCCATGATACATACATGCATTTTTACATTGCGATATATTGTGACATGATGTATTGTTATATATATATATACTATGACAGACAGACAGACAGATAGATATAGAAAAATACATATTTCTATGCAATATTATATTATTTACATATACGGTAATAAATGAAATAATACATTAAATTTGCATAAATACTTTTTTCTCATCCCTGTGCAACCAGTCCTCAACAATTCCAGACTCTGCACTACAGGAAGAAACTGAAATGTAATCAATCTGTTCCATTGTAAACCCCACCCAACTAAAGTTCCAGTCTGCTCTCGTGCTTTCCAGACTTTAGGTAAGAGGAAATATGTTTTCCAGAGCTCCACAACACTATAGCAGAGAACACTTTTTCAATGCCACCTTAAATGTGTTTCAAAGAGCATTTTAACAATCTCTTTGTTAAAATGTGACCGAAGCACATTGTGCGAAAGCACATCTTTTAGGGGTATACTTATCCTGTCAACTTAGATTACTTAAATGATGTCGCCGTGAGACATAGCATACTAACATCCCCCAAAGACCAGAGCTGTCCTCGCTAGACAGTGTCCTTACGGAATCTGGGTGCACTAAAGTCCAAACACAAACAAAAATCAAAGCACTGTTGGCTATATCCAACATTAAGACTTAATTCAGTCATTATTTAGTCTAAAAACACTTAAATGGTTCAAAATGTCCACTTCCAGTGAAAACAAGCATTATTATTACTGATCGGACAAAAGGGTAATTCCACCGGTGGAGACATGAATATATATTGAAAGTGGGTCAAAAAAGTATCATAAATTTCTAATTTGGATCCTTCTTAATTGGCCGATAAAAGGCAAAAAATGACTTTTTAGTGCTTGTGGATTGTAGACAACAATCCCCATAATGCATTGAAATGCTTAGCTCCGCAGGCCACTCCCACAACTCAATGTAGACTAGAGTTGAGCTACTCTACACTCCCACCTGGAAATCATTTCACACAATGAAATCAGATAATGCGCTCTAATATAATATGACGACGTAAGAGCGTCAAGGCGGCGCCCGCAGCCAATGGATTGGCATGATTCTATATGGGCTTCAGTTAATCGGCACACTTACTCTGACGCGTAATTTTACACGTGAAATGCAGTCAAACCTTGGAGCGTTTTATCTACGGCATCTTCATTAATCCCCTCGCTATATCAGATGCTCTGGGAGTCTACCGCATATTGATAACGGCTCCCTGATGCCCACAAATTAGTTAAAATCTACCGGAATCTAGAGCAAGCGAGCAAGAGCGCGCATGCGAGACAGATCAGACTGTGCTCCAAACCGTATAGTGCGCTCACAAGGGAGAGAGCGAGAGACTTTGCGTGTGTGCGCCTCATGAGACCTAGACTCAGGCACCAAAATTTTCGTTCTTATTCGGTCTGGTCATTCCCATTTATGTCGGAACCGGTTACCTATTGGCACCACGTTTCGGTACCCAACCCTATACATAATGCATCCGTCTGCGCATTCAGTACCTTCGTCCATATTTTCAAAAAGTTTCAGCCGGTTAAATCAAAAGCACTGGCACTGATTTGTGATTGGTCTGTTAGCGCATTAGACCCAACCCCTTATTTTTGCGTCATTGTAGGAGGAAGTGAAAAAGATAAATAGCGAAATTTCTCTCGTCTCAGGGGAAAATGAGAGAGTGTTGAACGACCATTCAATAGTATGACTGGATTTCTAACAATGGTGTCCCTTTAACCATTCTGAGACATTGCATTGACTAATAACCATGTTAACTTATAATAAAACAAGTTTAATAGGCATGGCTTTTTAAAATAAATATTATGCACAATAGTAAAAAATAAAATAAGTCAACTATTATCCATGTTTTTTGGACAATTTACCATGGTAATATATGCGGTATTTATGTATAATGATTTTTGGACATGATGCATGGTATTACCTTGGCATTCTTTGAATTACCTTGGTGTACCATATAAATACCATGGTATATAAACATGGTAATCATTCAGTACCAAAGTGCAAAGCACCATAGTATTAACATCGTCCTTTCAGAGTAGTCTATCCAACCTACAGTACGCTGCATCAACAGCATCACTTAAAAGTGTCCCTGTTGTCCCTGGCAGCTTTCATCCCGAGTACATGCTCGTCCCATGAGAAAGGACATGGCGACACAACATCCAGCGCACAGCTTTTACTTTCACGTCCGTACACCCCTTTACAGCCTGTTTCTTATAAATCTGAGAGCTGTCTTAACAATTTTCTCAGGCCAGCAAAATAAAGAACAGCCTAGAGAAGCCTACACGGCAACTGTAACAGCAGAGACATTCATGCCGTACAGAAGAGAATACCAAGCTGATGCGTAATACTGATCTGAATAGGTCTAATCATAAAAGCATTGTGTCTCTAAACAGCACAGGCTCTGACAGCAGCAGTGGGCGTATATGAGAGGAAGTGTTCGGATGCAAAGTGCAGTGAAATTCCAAACATGCACGACAAAAGAGCCCTTGAAAAGGCAAACGGTGAAATTAAAAACTGTGATTTAACCTGTTTTTACAGTCTGTTCATTTCTGTATGTGGTGTGTTTGAGGAGATTGTTGCCAAATCGGGTTTTTACAAATAGTGTTATATTTTTATATTTCCAAAGAAAAGGCAGATTAATCGGGTGATTTGAGATTTCTCGAACTGATCAATAACTGTGCCTACTTAAATAGCACAACTGGTTACATAATCAACAAACAGCTTCATAAAGAGATAATGGAAATGTTCTGTTCTCAAATGTAGCTAATGTTTAAAGAAAATATATTGCTTTTTGAAATAAAAATATAAAACACGATGAAAAAAAAAAACTAGTCACACAATGTGAGGTATATTTATATTTTGTATGTTGCATGTCAAGTGACAAGCCAAAGCTTAATATAGCAGTAATACTATTAACACAACTTACTGTACAGCGCAAATATACTCTACATCTAGTTTTTTCATATTCAAGGAACGTCTTTTGTGTATTCGAATACATGAACAACTGAAAAATCTGAAGATAAAAAAAACTGATTATCTGTAGAAAAAAAACTCAGGATATTGGTATGTTACTTCATGTTTTATGCAACTAAAGCGAGCTGTTGAAACACTTGTGTACTGTATGTGAGAGAGGAAAAGAGAAAAAGACAATCTAAAGGAGGAAAATATAGAGAAAACAAATGTAAGAAAAAAGGGGGTGAAAGAATATTGTAAAGAAAGCTAAAATAAAGATAGTTTTCCATGTGCACCGTTTCTTTTGGGTCTCTCGTCACATTAGCATGCATTGCGGCGCTCATTTGGGATGATCCACGTGGAGTGAAACCCAGGTCCCGGCATAATTATATTCCGGCATTCGCCCTCTCACTTGACGTTCTCTCTTCTCTCCAGACACATCCTCTTCACAACCATTATAAACCAGCTTTACACATAACCAGCTCCCTCAGTAGTAATAACGCTGTCAGTCAAGCAGATGTAAAACTTTCCACCAGTAGTATAGGGTGGGGGTGGCTGATGCCAAAGCTATGTGTGAGTTTGCTTGTATTTGAGGGGTAACCGGATCCAACCCGCCTGCAAAACCACTCACACATCGATTACAGGACTGTAGCTGACCTTTACGGTTATGGAATGTGATGACAAAGTCAGTGCCTTGTGTCCAAACTCCATGTACAGTACAATGAGGAAAAATATTTTGATATGAAAGCCAATAGAGCCTAAGGGGTTGTGGTACACTAAACTTGCGGAAAAAAAATAAATGAATAATTCTATTATCTGTATAAATTAAAAATATTTAATGTATTATATTAAAAATATAATAGTAGATAGTAATATAATATAATATAATATAATATAATAGTATAATAGTAGATATATTATAAAATATATATTGTATTTTTCTTAAAAAAAACATAAAAATATCCATAACAAGAAAAAAAAATCCACAAAAAAAGACAATTAATGAACAAAAAATATTGAATATATACTCTCTGAAAACAAGACTTTTAATTTGTAATTTTGATTTTCAAGTTTCATCTTGTTCTAAACAAGGATGTTTAGACAAATAAAAACACAAGAAAAATGTACCGAATCTACCGATTGCTTTTTTTGTTAGTATGTTATGTTTGTTTGATAAATATCCACTTGCACCCAATTTAACAATTATTGAATGTGTGCTGTATCACATTAAAGTTGTAAAGTAATAATTCTCAAATTGGGATCTCAAAGTCCCATAAAACATCACTTGAAATTTGACTTCCAACTTGGAAACACAGTTATTATTACAACTTTGTGCCTATAAACACTTATCAATTTTCAGTTTTTATAAGTTAAGTCATTTAAGTATAAATATTGCATACGTTAAATATATTTAAATATGTGTTTTCTAATATTGCATTACATCATAGGCTACATTGGTTTAGCGCTAGGTGTGTAAACTACCTTTAAGAAAGAGAAGGACTTACCAAATAAGTCTTGACCTGTTGAAGGTTTTATCCACTCTGTGAAGAAAAAGAAAGAAAAAAAAACATTGTCAAAAAGTCAAACTCATAAGCATTTCAATAGTAACACTTATAGCCATTACCTGATTTCACTCTTTTAACACATTCTGGCAATCAAACTCCAACCAGCTAAATGCTAACAGATAATCAATTCAGCGCTGACAAACTCCTCATGCACTTTAACACTTGACTTGATGTGATAATGACTCAGCAAATCTATCAAGTTAACGAAGAGTGAGGGTCAATAGGACAATGAAGAACCACTGGAGCACATCGTCAATTAATACAAGCAATTGCTATCAGTAAAATCCCTTGAAAAGCCATCTTCGCCTTTAACCCCTGATCTTATTACTTTGCATTTATGCACAATGTTTTGAGTGATTCTCAACAATTCTGCCTGACAAAAAGCTGTACAATTGTACCGAGGGCATTTGCGGTTGTGAGACGCTAATGAGAGAAGCAGCTTCTCTAACGTTTCTCCGAAGAGGGGCCGCGGCTTTGTTCTAAGAATACGCTATGACTCGACTTGGTTTAAAAACAGCTCAGCCCTCAGATGTTTTCTGAATAAGACCTTTCATAAGACTGAATATCAAAATAGACAAAGCTGAATACAATGTCGATTTTGCGTGAAAAAGAAACCTCATTTTCCAGGCTAATGTTGGTGTCATTTTGTTTCTTGCCACAAGGTGGTTTCTTGCCACGAGACTTTTCAACAAAAGATTTGAGACCGAAAGTAACCGTTTTCCAACCAGACTCATCAGGATATCTCCATTTACTGGCTTTGCTCTAAATGTCAGACGTCTGCAGGGCTTGTGGGCAGTCAGTCAAAGCACTTCTGCTGAGCGCAAGGGGAAAGAGTGGCTGTTGTGTCAACAAAATGTAGTAACACTTCAGGTAGAACATATAGAGGAACAAATATTTCCATTACCTTGAAGGAAAGGACAGCAGTGGTGGAAAGTAGTACTGACAAATTGTACTTAAAGGAGTAGTTCACTTTTAAAAAAAACTTTTGCTGATAATTTACTCACCCCCATGTCATCCAAGAAGGTCACGTCTTTCTTTTTTCAGTCGAAAAGAAATTAAGGTTTTTGATGAAAACATTCCAGGATTTTCTCCATATAATGGACTTCAGTGGGAACCAAACGGTTCAAGGTTCAAATGAGAGTTTCAGTGCAGCTTCAAAGGGCTTTAAACGACACCAGACGATGAATAAGGGTCTTATCTAGGACCCTTTGAGTCATGACTCGAAAAAAGATTTGTTCATTTTGATGAACGAGTTTGAACAGGAGAGTCACACAGAACAGAGCAAGGCGAGCATTTGTGCTTATAAAACTTAAACTTTTTTATTTATTTTTTAAATGAGCGATCGTTTCGCTAGATAAGACCCTTATTCATCATCTGGTGTCGTTTAAAGCCCTTAAAATCACATGATCCACAATATCATTTATCAAAATGTCATTTTAGCCCACATGATATTGTTTAATCGGTAACACTTTACAATAAGGTGTTCATTAGTTAACATTAGTGATCACGCCAGCGCCTCCACCGACCCCGGGGCGTTAACTACATTAGTTATAATGAACTCCACCTCTTCAGCAGAGCACTTATTAATCTTTGTTATTACACGGCTCTGTGGAATTCTTGATTCATTTGGTGAGCTCATAAAATATTAAAACTCATATCAATATTTTGTGTACAGTCATCCAGTATTGTGGACAGCTGCTGCCATTATGCGATGATAGTTTTGTACACTGCTGGATTATAAGATAAAAAAACAGGTGCAGGTTATCCCCATAATTATTAAGTGTTTGGCGAAATGCTGTGTAAGTATGACAGTATCATATCCCTTATGTCTGTCTAGTTTGAATTTGCAGCGCTAGCAACTCTCTGTGGAAGCTATGAGTTTAAAGACCTAATAAAATATTTTTGACTCAATATTCAATATTTCGTGTCTAATTATTCACTTGACATCGGGGTCCTGATCACCCTATCGAGGGTTTATACTGTGATAACAACCGGCTGGATATTATCCCATTATGTTAATTTCAACATTTACAGATACATTATTAAAATAATGCATAAGTTGAAAATGTTTGCATTAGTTAATGCAATATAAACTAACATAAACAAACAATGAACAGCAGTATTTTTATAATTTAACGTTAACGTTAAAAATGAACAAATACATGCTCATGGTTAGTCCATGTAGTAATGGTAATACTATAACTAATGATAACAAATGAAACCTTATTGTGAAGTGTAACCATTTAATAAATCAAATGGTAGTACTTTGTGCTTAAATTTATATTCTTAAATGACTTTTTGCTGATTTTAAGGGCAGGTCATGAGATTTTTCAATAATTAACTTCACTAAATACTAAACGCAGGATTTATACAGATATTCATCCCTGACATTTTCTTCAATTCATATTATAAAATGCACTCTTAAAAATAAAAAGTTCGTCATTGGCATCTATTGAGAACCTTCACATCCATGCAAAAAAGGTTCTTTTTAGTGGAAACATTTTTTTTTTTAATGATTTAACATGTTTCTTTTTACTGAAAGGTTCTTTGTGGAACCAAAAATGGTTCTTCCATGGCATCGCTGAAATAATAAGTCTTTGGATAGGTGTAAAGGGCATGGGAAAATTTGTCATATGCAATTGCAAACACTGATTTTAATTGAAAAAAATGTAATCAAATCATACATGACACAAGTAAACCCCTCTACCAACAAAAATTCAATGTAAACACATGAGTTCAGGAGTAAATATTGGAGCCAAGCCGCTGACTGTGGAAACAAAGCCTATAAATCACCAAATGGGGATCAGTGTGTTTGTACGAGCATGTGTTAGTAAACATGCTGGATCAAACAGAACCGGTTTCAGATTGCTTATGCTTATGCCATCCAAAATACAAACCTGTTAAACCTGGTGATGTAGGTGAAATGCCAAACAATTTTTTTCATTAACGGTGCTCTATTTAAATGATCTGTTATTTCAACACAAAAGTGCTTTAAACTTCACATAGTTTCAGGCAATAGATACAAGACGAATAGATACAAGACGAACGTCACAACATGACTCGTGTTTCCCTCTTTGTTTGAAGAGACATAGCAATCTCTGACATCATCTAACCATCATCAAACTCTCAACGTTCCAACTGAACCGTTCTAACCAAGCAGGCACAACAAGATGTGTCAAGGAACAACATGTGCAAGTACAAAAGACATGTGCAATAACTTATTTTTGTAAAAATGTATGTCTACTTTTAGAGAATTTCCATATATTGTGTCAGTTCTTAATTATTCACCCGCATGTCAATCCAAACCTGTAAGACTTTCGTTTTTGAGAGATTCTGAGAGATTTCTGTCCCTCCATTGACAACTACTGTACCACTTTGCCACTTCAAAAAGTTCATAAAGAGATCGTAAAACGAATCCATATCAATTGAGCGGTTTAGTCCAAATGTTCTGATGAGATCACTTTATATAATAAACAGGCTGAATTAATGCTTATTCATCAACTCACTTTAATCAATGAATTTATGCTTTTATTCATCAACTCACACATCAGTTGTGGTAAACGGAAGCTCAAGCATGTTCACTCGACGTGCGAGAACCAATGAGGTTCGTTCTTGTGTTTATTTTTCAATAATAGCCTAAATTAAAACTGTTCATCGTATAAAAGTCCAAAAAGTTTAACCAAACCAATTAAGTCATAGCCCTTCATAGCCTTGCAGAAACATCAAAATAAAGCATTTAGAAATGGTATGAACATTGATTAGAAGACATCATGTTTGCTGATAATCCCGAATGCATGATCAATTAACATCTGCAACCTAGAACGGGAAGTAGCCAGTGAACATTAACTGCAATGGCATATAAACATCCAGCAATGTGCTTCCTGCTCTGTGAATGGTTACACCTCACAGAACAAATGAGAAATCAAAGTCACCATCATCTGTTCTTGTCACACACACACACACACACACACAAATACCCAGTAGTCGCTCTTACCCCCCGTATGCTCCAAAAGTAAAGCTCCTCTTCCTGTGAGACATTGTGTTTTCCCTCGACAGTATCTTCACCTCCGTCTCTGGCTCTCTTTCACTGGGTACTTGTGTTGTGGCTCTGTCTCAATGTGTGAGAGGGTGTCTCTCCTTTTCTGCTTCCTATCCCTCCTCTCTTCCCTCCCTTTCACTACCTGAGACAGCGGATTCACAGCTATGGGCAGGTGCTCGCTTTTCAAATGATGTCTTTACGACGTACATGTAATGAAAAGTACCAAGTGGTAAGTTCTTAGAAATAAAAACTTGTAGTATGACCCAAACCTAGCCATGATTAATATAGAAACTGTTTGTAAGATTCAGCTCTCGCAATATCATACGATTTAGTCATATTTTATGAATTAAGTGCTACAAAAGGAAATAAATTCTGCTCAACACTGGATAAAAAGCTCTAACAAAACATGAAAAACCGATGAAATTAGTCAGCATGATAAATTACATTCAATAAATTCTAAAGACATTCTAAAGCTTCCTCAATTAAAAGTCGATCGAGAACCAACCAGCTGTAATGTGACACTCTTTCACGCATTTAAAACATAACTTTCTCACTCTCAGGCAGACAAACATAACCTTTAGTAACCTCAGACTCATTAAATGGTTGTTTACTGTATGGAAACATTGGCAACAGCACAATGTACTATCTCATCTCATATCAGCTGACGGAGATCGCAGAGTGAGTAAATAAACATCTTGTGCTTACTCACTTCTATTTCTCTCAATTAGTTAGGTTAAACAATCATTTTTATTTTTAACTTGATAGTAGAATGACTGTTACTACGGTAAAAATGCATTACTCTTTTATAGCTCATTAAACTTGGATCTCAGTTATGTTTCATAAAAATTTGTAATGCTTCTCATAAAACTCTTCAGGGAAAGTGAACTAGCACTAGCCATAATTGTCTGTGCCAATTGAGCCCTCAATCCTTCATCAC